TAATGCCCCACCTCCCACCATCATTCTCCAAAGTTCGGGTTTCCCAACACAATTTTGTTTCGTTCCCTTAATCTCTACCTCACACAATGTTGGGGAGTCACGACAAATGAATTGGATAATGATATTCCTATAATAATTAATAACAAATATTACTATAAATAAAAACAAATACTACCTCCTATTTTTTTCGTACAAAAAAAAAATGACGAGAAAGGAATTAAAAACACACCAAATTGATAATAATGTTCGAAAAATATTTGTCTATGTCTCCAAGAATCGCCAACACACCTAACTAGTTTTACTGACGTCGATCTAGTCACTTATAAAATCGAAATTTCGTCATTGAAATTCTTAATTTGTCACTAAAAGTTTGAATTTAAATAACGAACTGATATTTTGTCATCTAAATATTACCGATGATGACGAACTTGCCACTTTTACAAGGGAATTTTCTTCACTTGAATATTTAAATTATAAAAAAAAAAGACACTAACATATAATGATGAATTTCAACAAAAAATAAAAATAAAAATAAAAATTAAATTATTATTTTTTATGTCAAAGATAATTTTGTTTCATTTCCTTAATATCTAGCACTATCCATAACACACAAGCTTCCACACAAACTATTGGTAACGTTTATTAAGTAGCACATATAGTGGGACCTGAACCCATGACTTCTTAGGTCTCGAGGTGATTGTCGCCACTAGTCTATATCAATGCATGTGACATAATTTTACAATTTTTTTTATTTAACTATTATATATTATATATATTTAAATTTTATTTCTTAAAATTACATATGTTATATATATAAAATCAATAAATACAAATAAAAAATGTTGTATATTAAATATACAACATTCTTTTTTCCTTTCCTTTATAATTTTGCCTTCTCTAGGCCTTTGGGCATACGAGCTCAAGGTCTTTCTTTTCTTTTGCTGAGGTCTCTAGTCTTGACTGTGAGAATTTTTTGACATTTTCTTTACGAGTTCAGGGTCTTATTTTATTGGAATATTGGCCCCCGAATTGCGAGCTCAGAGCTTCACCCAGCTAGGATAGCCTAGCTAGGAGGTAGGTCCTCGAGCTGCGAGCTTGGAGTTCTGCCTGATTGAATAGTAGGCCTCCGAGCCATGATGTCAGAGTTCTGCCTAACTAGAAAATAGGCTCCCAAGCTGCGAGCTCGGGGTTCTGCCCGACGGGGACATAAGCCTCCGAGTCGTGAGGTCGAAGTTCTTACTGGCCGATCTTTGGGGTTCTCGGGCTCGTAAGCCTGAAGTTTTGCCCCTATATTTGAACTTTGCAAGCTCTCGTAAGAGGTTCTGCTGAACTTTTATTTTAATTTTGGGATCCTATTACCGGAAAAGACTTTTATTGCTCAGTAATTGAATTCTCATTAATAAATTAAATGGCTAAAATAAACATGTAGTTTTGCCCGAACTAGGACTTTAGAAGATCTCCGAGCTCACCTGCTCGGCCGTCTATCAATATTTCCTAAACACTAAACATGGTGAAAAAAGTTAAAAACTACGCTTAAATAATACAAGAAAAACATATCTACCTAGAATTGTTGTGCTTCACTTCGAGGTCCTTCCCTGCGGCCATGCGTGGTCCTGACTTTCCTTCTTCCCGTCGATGGGTCTGATGTCCAAAAGCTTGGTCTGGGCGGACTTTCAGCCTTCTCTTTTCTTTTTTGTTGCTCGAGCGTTCCGAAATGTCAGTCCCCTGCTCTTTTTCTTTTTTTGTTACCTTCACCTCCGACCTCTTCAGCATTATCTCGTAGCATGCCCTGGCCGGCCTTTGGTCTCCTAGCACCTCTCCAACTTGGTTGTCGGTACTCCGATACTGCTGCCTGAAAAGCATTCAAACTAGGATGTCCCAAGATAACGTTTTATGCTGAGTTGGCATCCACCACTAGGAATCTGACCATCTTGAATCTTCGTAAGTCCGACCTTCCGAGGACAACCGGTAGGTGTAGCTCTTCTAGTGTTGCAACCTCGCTTCTGTCGAACCCATAGAGGGTTGTGTGGGCTGGACTAAGGCTTACCTCGCTTCCATTGAACCCATAGTGTTGCGACCTCGCTTCCATTCAACCCATAGAGGCTAGCTGATTTTTGGTGGGGTAAGTCTGAGAGTTGGTGAAAGAGAGTGCATTGGGCAGGGCGGAAGTCTATAGCTAAACCTAAACTAAAAGGAGGGTTAGATTTAAGTAATTTCAAAGTTTTTAACCAAGCTCAGGCAAACAGTTGTGGAGATTGCTCACCTAACCAAATTTACTCATGAGCAGAATCTTATAAAAAGGTAGGTATCTGAATAAGGAAAATATGATGAGTGTAAGAGAAAGAGTGGTGATTTATGGATGTGGAGCAGTTAGCTAGGGGCTAGAGAGGGGTTTAGTTTAGGTGTCAGATTTTAAGTAGGAGATGGGAACTCAATCAATGTATGGGAGTCCCCTTGGGTTCCTAATATCCCACATTTCAAACCTAGATGTTAGTTTGAGGTTGATAGAAGGAGAATCACTTGGGTGTGGAATTTGTTGTTACAAGAGAGTAGGGTGTGAGATAATGATATAATTCTGCAGACTTTTGACCCTTTTGTTGTTGAGCAAATCTTCTAGATACCTTTGAGTAACAATACTCTAAACTCTAAAGGATAAACTGGTCTGGAATGCTCATAAGAAAGGAAATTTCACTGTGAAGTTCTTATATGAGCTCTTGATTTCCAAACACATGGGGCAGAGGCAGATTGCAGAACCTAGTAGGAAAACTAAGCATGAAACTAAGATGTGGAGGAGGACTTGGAAATTGCCAGTCTAGAACAAAAGCAAAAACTTTATGTGAAAAAGTTGACATGGCTTCTTGGAAACTAAATAGCATGTGAAGAAGGGAGGCATGGAAGTGGATATTATGTGCAAAAACTGTGGAGAGGAGCCTAAGGACCAAGAACACATATTTTTCAATTGCAAAAGGGCTAAGCTGTGCTAGAAACTCTTGGGGATATCTTGGAAATGGCTTCAGGTTGGCACTCATTCTTTTCGGAGATTGATGGCTAGAAATAGCTTGTGCTCAGTATACCGAAACCAAAGGTAGGTTAAGTTTATCAACTTACCTTCTTTGGTGGCTTTGAAAAACAAGAAATGGGTGGCTGTTTGAAAATACTTTGATTTTAGAGGTTGAGTTGGTACAAAAGGTTATGGTGGAATGGAAGGAATTCAATGTTGTAGTGTTTGATGAGCTTGAGGATCTCCAGCAGAATGTGAAAAGTTCTTTCAGATTGGATGGGAAATTTTACTCAAGGGTAAGGCATATTTTTCTTTCTGTCAGTGCCCCACTCTGAGACAGTTACTTGCAGGTGACCAAGGGATTAGCTATGAAAGATGGATCTCTGATCAAAGAATGGTGCCAAACTGCAAAGTACCATAGCACTGCTCTTGCAACCGAAATGGCAAACATAAGATGGATTCTAGATGAAGTAAGAAAAGAAGGCTGGAAGAAGATTTTGTGTTGGATATGAAGCAAGACTCTAGCTGATTCTTTGAACCGGAGATTAATATTTGATTTGGAGTTGAATGTTTGAGCCTTGGACATCTTTTCCGTTTCTTGTTTATTTTCTTCTTGTGTATTTGTTGTTAGTTCGATTGTTTAGTTAAGTGAGTGTTAGCAGGTGTTAGGTCCTGAGCTGGGGTGCTGTTGGGCTACCCTTAGCGCTCGTTTACCAGCTTGTGTTAGTTGGTATTATTTGTGGAATCAGTTGGTTACTCAGGTGTATTGTTTTCTGAGTTTAATATGTCGTTTTCTCATTTCAGGAAAAAAAATTGGACAGTCTAAAAGTGAAATTCCAAACACTTTTATTTGCCATTCTCTCTTTTGCAACTTGTTAAAAAAACTCCAAACTCAATTCAAAATGATAAACCATAAATTTCCTTTTCAATTTAAAGAACCTCAATTTATCTACAAAAATCCCGTAATTAATGAAATATAAATTAAATTTGAAGTTCATTACTATAAAATACATAAAAATCCTAAATTATGAAAAAATACAATTCTAGAATAAAATCAAAACTTTGAAAAGAACCCTAATAAGCTAAACTAACCTTGTTGGTTTTGAGATAGAGGAAGATAGTTTTTTGGATTGAAATTTAGATTTAGAGTCTACCATGTGTTGTTTGATGGACAGGAAGTGCTGTAAACGAGACGAACCAAACTTGACGGAGATGGCGAACTGTGATTGGGGAGAAATCCTTTTGGGTAATTTAGGACAAGTCGGCGATAAAAAAACTCCGATGTAAATTTTGGGCCAGTCACAAGCGACGGAGATGGTGAGGTTGTACATAAGGAAAAGCTGAGGCGAGACTTCAAATTTTTTATGATTTATCAATTAAATTAATGATTAATAATCATTGCATCTCGTCCTTTTCAATTTTTTTATGATTTATTAATTAAATTAATGATTAATAATTATTGCAATATATATGTGGGTAGTTGAGAGGAAAGAAAAAATTGTTTTTGAATATAAAGAGGAAAATACACAATTTATGAATTAAACATGGAGATGATTTGTGGATTAAGGATTCAATCGCAAAATGCTTCTATTCTTTTCTTTTGCAACAACTTGTTAAAAAACCTTTTATATTTTTTATTTTATTTATTATTATTATTAATTTTTTTTTTTGGTACAACTATTATTATTATTATTATTTGAACTTGTTAAAAAACTTAAAAACTCAATGACCCAAGGCTAAGAGCAGAGTTGAAAATATACACAATAAAAGGACTTGAAACAAGAAATCCCAAAAAGTTGGGGGACTGTAAAAAAAAGTTCACCATCCCCACACCTTATCCGCAACGCCCACCATCTGCACATCCACTCCAAAATTATAACTCCCCTATTAAACCCTAGTAAATTTCACAAAACCCCCAACCTGAAACAGAGCTTCCTCTCGTTCGAAAAAAAAACGAGCTTCCTCTCATTCGAAAAAAAAATAAAAAAGAAACCGAGCTTCCTCTCCACTCAAAATGTCCGATATATCCCCAGATCCCATCGTCATCCAGCTCCCCGACGAGCATCCCCGGCTACCGCTCGACATAGCCGAGAACATCCTCTGCCGCCTCCCGGTGAAGACCCTCAAGCGCTTCCGTGCCGTGGAGAAATCGTGGCGTGCGCTGATCGACAGCGAGAGCTTCGCCAAGGCGCACTTTCTCAGCTCTCTGGCTTCCAATTCCAACCGGAACATCATTAGCTGCATATTCGGCTTCCATGCGATGAACCTGGAGTCTCTCAGCACCCCGACAGACATGGAGCCACCGTTCGAGTACAACAACAAGGACGTCGACTCAATGTCGAGATCCGTCAACGGTCTCGTCGTGGTGACGAGAGAGACCGAGCCTCCGATTTTGTGGAACGTCTTCGCTAGAGAGCACAAGGTTCTCCCCAGATGCCCTGTTAAATTGGCTCCCAGATTGGCCAATTCCTGCGAGAACATGTACGGCTTCGCGTACGACGAGGAGAATGACGACTATAAGGTCGTCAAAGTTATGTGGCACAAAAAACGGCCCTTATCCGAGGAGTGGATGTACAGCCTGAAATCGGATTCATGGAGGAAAACCAAGGCCATGAAATACCAGATGGGACACTGGCCCGTCCCCTTCAGAGGTGCCCTGCATGCAATTGCTGGCAACGATGACGTGAAGCTGATGGGTTTCAACATCGTCACGGAGACGAATTTCGAGCTACCGTTGCCCAAGTTCGATTACGATATTGAGCGTCCTCATTTGACGCTCGAGCTATTCAACGGGACCATGCTAGCTCTGGCAATTGTGTATCCGTCAAAAGTTGTAATCTGGGTGATGAGGGAGTATGGGGTGGCGGAGTCGTGGCAGGTGATATTCTCCATGCCCAACACGCAGGGGCCCATGTGGCCTCTTGCTCTCTCTAAGGACGGCGAGAAAATTCTATTCAACTACCGTGGGACACAGTTTGCCTATTTTGGGTTGAGGGAGCATAGCGTGCAGGACATTGCCTTGCCATATATTGTGTGGCCGAGACTTATAGTGGAGACGCTGATTTCGCCGCATTTTTGGGACAAGAGGAAAGCTTTGGAAGAAAGCTCGATGAAGGAGCAGAAGAAGAATGTGGGAAAGGGGAGCAAGGGCAAGAAGAAGAAGGAGAGCAAGACGAAGGGGAGCAAGGTACATTACAGCAAAGATTTTGTTTTGTTAATTTTTATCTTCTTAATTGTGCTATATGTATATACTCATTGTGTATTAATGTATTAGGTTTGTATTTGGTTCATACTTTATACAAATTAATGACCCGTGGTAGTTCTCCTTTTTATTTTGCAGGATGACCAGGACCTCTCAGCTCAATTGAACTTGGTTCTTTGAAATCCATGAGGTGCTTATGCTCTTATCTATGCCTAGTTTTTCTGTGCCTCTCTTCTTTCAGAAAGCTGGTTGTGAATGGTGTATAAAAATTAAAATGCTAATTTGATGCTGGGAATTTAATATTTGGTGTAGTCGTGTAAAGTCTCCTTGTATATTACTTTCAGGATGTTCTCTGAGAATGTAATGGTTTCAAGTGTTGGGCTGTCACTGATTTGCATTATTTGGCTTTTGTTTATCTGCTGATAGCTCACAGCATTGCACCCTGTACCAACTCCTCTACACATGTAGCAGCATGAATGTTTCGGTAGAACTAGTTAGTAATACAGACTAGAATATCATCCATCACTAGTATTCGAGTTAGCATTAGTAACTAAAGTGTGATTCTAAAATTGTGATAAGAGACATGAGATGCAGATGTCTGATCCTACTCGGGGGCAGCTATCTGGTTTTATGCATAGATGTTCTGAGCGAATGAATAATAAGTTCTGTCCTTCCTCTGTTATTCCCTTTTTGTTTTCTTTTGTTTCTTTATCATCTTTTGTTGGTCAGTTCGCTGGTTCATTTGTCTATGTAGCTAACTGACTATAGGGAGAAATGTTGGGTCGCTAACTGATCTAAATCGCAGAGATAAGTATGTTTGCTACGTTTCTTTCTTGATCAGTTCACTGGTTGGGCTTGTATTAGAGGCGTGTGAGATATGAGAAATTGGGTGCTCATCGAGAATGGAATTTATACGAATTAATAACCGATGGTAGTTCTCCTTTTTTAATTTGCAGGATGACCTCTCAGCTGAATTCAACTTAGTTCTTTGAAATCCATGTGGTGCTTATGTTCTTGTCTATGCCTACTTGCCTAGTTTTTTGTGCCTCTCTTCTTTCAGAAAGCTGGTCTTGAATCTTTAATAAAAATGAAGATGCTAATTTGATGCTGGGAATTTATTTTTTGGTGTAGTCGTGTAAAGTTTCCTAGTATGTTACTTACAGGATGGTCTCTGTTAATGAAATGGTTTGAAGTGTTGTGTTGTGACTGTTGTCACTGATTTGCATTATTTGGCTTTTATTTATCTGCTGATAGCTCACAGTGTTGCACCCTGTACCAACTTCTCTACTTATAGCAGCATGAATGTTTCGGTAGAACTAGTTAGTAATACAGACTAGAATATCATCCCTCACTAGTGTTCGAGTTAGCATTAGTAACCAAAGTGTGATTCGAAAATTGTGATAAGTTATAAAGGTTTATTTGAGTGATCTGCAAAATGTCAATTATGAAGAGACATGAGATGCAGATAGTCTGATCCTACTAGGGGAAACTATCTGATTTTGTGTATATATAGATGTTCTGATCGAATGAAAAACTATAACGTCTCGAATTACAAAAATTTCTCTCCTTTCTCTGTTACTCGCTTTTCTTTTTCTTTTGTTTTTTTTTTATCATCTTTTGTTGGTTAGTTTGCTGGTTCATGTGTCTATGTAGCTAACTGACTAGGGAGAAATGTTGGTTCTATAACTGATCTAAATCCATGAGGTGCTTATGTTCTTGTCTATGCCTAGTTTTCTGTGCCTCTTATTTCACAAATCTTGTTGTGAATCTTAAATAAAAACGAAAATGCTAATTGGATGCTGGGAATTTATTTTTTGGTGTAGTCGTGTAAGTCTCCTAGTATATTACTTACTGGATGGTTTCTGTGAATGTAAGGGTTTCAAGTGTTGTGTTGTCACTGATTTGCATTATTTGGCTTTTGTTTATCTGCTGATAGGTAGCAGCATTGCACCCTGTACCAACTCCTCTACACTTGTAGCAGCATGAAAGTTTCGGTAGAACTAGTTAGTAATACAGACTAGAATATCATCCATCACTAGTATTCGAGTTAGCATTAGTAAATAAAGTCTGATTCAAAAATTATGATTAGTTATAAAGGTTATTTGAGTGATCTGCAAAATGTCAATTATGAAGAGACATGAGATGCAGCTATCTGGTTTTATGTATAGATGTTCTGAGCGAATGAATAACTATAACGTCTCGAATTACAAAAAGTTCTCTCCTTCCTCTGTTATTCCGTTTTCTTTCTATTTTGTTTTTTTTTTATCATCTATTGTTGGTTAGTTTGCTGGTTCATGTGTTTATGTAGCTAACTGACTATAGGGAGAAATGTTGGATCTATAACTGATCTAAATCACAGAGAGAAGTGTGTTTGTTACTTTTCTTTCTTGATCTGTTCATTGGACATTGATTGTGCTTGCATTAAGAGGCATGTGAGATATGAGAAATTGGGTGCTCATCCAAATGGAAGAATGGAATTTATTTGGCGTCCTAATATTGATGTCTGGCATACGACGCATCTAGAATCTGATATTATTATATCATAAGAANGATATTTGTTTCTCTTACTGCAGGGATGACTTTCCGACAACTGGACTCAAGTTTCTGTGAGTTGGTTCTTGGAAAAGTTGGTTGTTATTTGCTACTCAGATGAAAACGAAAAACAAAAAATGCTGTTTGGATGAAAATTATGTTTTGTGGTGTACCCTTGTAAAGGGCTTCCAGTATTAACTAGTATGTAGTGGAATGAACATGCTTCTGTGAATGCAATGGTTTTTAGTATTGTTTAGTCAATGGCTTGTGAGTTGTGAGTACATTGGGCTTTTGTTAAACTACTGTTAGTTCACATCAATGCACCATGTACCAATTCTTGTTTACTTGGAACAGTACACTCGAATACCATCCCTCAGAAAATACTAAAGCTAGAATGGTATAAATGTAGTAAATATACGAGAATTATTGCCTTATTGGTTGACATGCGTCACATGCATTGTATAGTAATTTTTGTGTTCGTTTCGTTGTAGTTTATCATATATTTTTGCTCGTTTTATTGAATTATTATTATTATTTTTGCGTAGCGAAATAATAAAAAAATAAAAAATGAGAGAGAACCATCAGTTTTAAATAGATCTTCTAAAAAAACTAATGAAATATCTTTCCCACCAAATTTAAGATTAACATAATAATAATAAAATAAAAAATAAATTAATTAGATTAATGACGTCAAACAATCATGTTTATCCAAAAAAGTTTGGCTCCATCACTAAACATCATTATCTTACATTCAATTTAAATAATTGTACGTCCGTCTCAAACGTGTATTCTTCATGTTGGTTTCTTAAATTCATAGCAACACATTGTACTAATTATTAATGCTAATTATTAAAGAAAGAATATTAATTAGGGGCGTGGTCTTAATGGCTGTCTTTGCTCAATTTTATTATTAACTCTATTTCTCAGATTAACCAACATACATTACTCCATCTTGGTCAAACACAACAATACTTTGTCATCCTTAAAAATGTTGCGTCATTACTTATTTTTTTGTTACTGTGGAGTTGTAATATCTAATAACCAAATACGTTGGAAAGTTAAAAAGATTGATCATATATTAATTATTTTTTTTTTTAAATTATAAGTTGAACGACTTTGAAATATAATGATACATGTTTGAAGTGGCAAAGGTGGAATTTAACAATTCTTGTTATCTATGAATCTCAGTCCATATTCTAAAAAAAAAAAAAAAAATACTTTTTATATATGAATATCTGTCAAATTCTAACCACAAAATATCGTGGTTGCAAAAAATTGAATTAGGGATTATACTATCTACTCTCTTGTATTCTTGGTCTTTGGCTTTAGTTTGGAAAAAACATTATTCCATAAAAAATATACTCCCTTCTTTTTTTAATAGATGTCGTTTTAAGAAGTTGCACACTAATTAAGAATATTATGTTTGCCAATAATAACCCTCATTAATGAGGATAAAAAAGGATGTTTTGAGAAAATATAAAGAGTGAATATGGAAAGACGTAGTGTATTTATTAGCTAAATAAGGATAATAATAGAAAAATATGTACAAAAGATCTAAAACGTCATTTATTTAGACAATTGTTGATAAAGCCAAAATGACATTTATAAAAAAAAGGAGGTAGTATATAATATATTAAAATTCAATAAAATTGGCAATAATACATTTTCAACAGATATGCATATTTTCAGATTAGAATGTCAATATTCTAAAATATTATATACATAAAAATATAAGGTTTCATAATAAGAATATTTATTTTTATTCAAAAAAATCCAAACAAGAACATACAAAAATTTATGTTAAAATTGTGTTTGATTAGATAGAGAGACAATAGCCAGAAGGCTGGTACACCATTATCCAATAAAAAACACACAACACACAATTCCTATTTTGTGAACCTAATTTCCCCCAAATTTTTATGTGGAAACCCTCAAAAAGTACCAAAATTTGTACAAATTTTGACAGCCCACTTGTGTCACTGCCGAGCTCCTATATAATTAATAAACACAAAAATAAATAATAAAGAACTTTTACTAATAACTAATTAAATATAACAATGCTCTGTTGGTCCCCTTTCTAGCAAGCTGTTTCAGGCCTGTCCTGTCTTAGAAAAAAATTTCACACATACATTTGATCCTTAAAATTATATATATACATACACATGTTATGTCTGCTCCACACGCACATTTTTAGAAGAAAAGGCGAGAAACTAATCAGCTGTGGATCAATCAGTGCGTGTTCTGTGTGAGTGGTGTTCATTTCGCAGCTCGTGAGGTGATAGAAACTAGAAAGTGAACAAAACGTTAATAAAAAGGAAAAAAAAAAGAAAGAAAGGAAGAGGGGCAGAGTTATTGTGAACTGCCGAGAAAGAGAAAAAAAAAAAGTCCCTTTTGCCGTTCAACTGGAATCTCCAAGGTCTGTTAGGGAAAACAGTAAAAAATTGTTTCCACGATTTTTTATTTTTTTATTTTGAGATGGGAAATTCTCTCTCTCTTAATTCTTGAATTAAGGGTTCATTGTTTTTCTCTCTCTTCCCCACAGAACAGAGACTAGTTTTAGAGAGAGGGATTTTAGAGAGAGGGATTGTAAGGAATGAATGGTGTTGTTGATCTTGATTCAGATGATTCTGAATTTGTGGAAGTTGATCCTACTGGAAGATATGGAAGGGTTTGTTTGCATTCCCTTTTTTTGTTGGTTCAAGTTCTCAATTTCCCAAATTAATATTTTTTCTGTCAGTTTTTTGCCCAGCATTACATGATTTGAGTAAGATTACTTATGCCTTTTTCTCTTTTACCTTTTTCACATCCCTTTCTGTTTGCAGTACAATGAGATCCTAGGAAAAGGGGCTTCAAAGACTGTGTATGTATTTAGATTAAACAAAGAGTTTTATCTTTTTTCTTTTTGGGTATCATAATTATCATTAAATGTTCATAGGCAGTCTGTACTCAGTTAGACTGTCCCAGATCTGTGATTTTCTTGTGCTTGATTTTTTTTTTTTTATATTATTATTCAAAATGTTGCAGTTATAGAGCTTTTGATGAGTATGAAGGAATTGAGGTTGCCTGGAACCAAGTGAAGCTTTATGATTTTCTCCAAAGTCCGGAAGATCTCGAGAGGCTTTACTGTGAAATTCATCTCCTCAAGACGTTGAAACATGCCAATATTATGAAGTTCTGCACTTCTTGGGTCGACACAGCTAATCGGAACATCAATTTTGTGACTGAGATGTTCACTTCTGGTACTCTTAGACAGTAAGTTCACATAAATGTTCGGTCATTAGATTCTCCTATTTTTATCTGTGCAGTTATGGGCTTCTGCAAAATCTTGTGATCTTAGGTATGAATTGATTTTATCCCAAGTGGAACTAAATAAAGAGTGGAACTGAAGTTGGATAAATTTAAAATTCATATTTGTTTTGATTATTCATTCATCTGGAACAGATACAGGCTGAAACATAAGAAGGTGAACATTAGAGCAATTAAGCATTGGTGCCGACAAATTTTGCAAGGTCTTCTTTATCTCCATAGCCATGATCCACCTGTCATTCATAGAGACCTCAAGTGTGACAATATATTCATCAATGGAAACCAAGGTGAAGTCAAGATTGGTGACTTGGGCCTTGCTGCAATTCTTAGGAAATCTCATGCAGCCCGTTGTGTAGGTAATACTTCTTTTTTTTTTATTATTATTATTTTAACATTCCTGTCGAGATTCAAGTTTTGTCTAAATAGGACATTCCTTTTCCACATTCCAAAGGAAATAGTATGAAAAGAATGTTTGTTCTGGAAAAGACAGATGGAATCAAAGTATAAAGATACCAATCTCTTCAACAGTCTGTTAAGCACAATAGTAATTTGGATGTGACTGGTGATTGGAAAGTAAGACCAAATATAAATAGTGGTTTAAGATAGCAAGTATATGGTGATTGTGGAAGAATGAGACCGAATAGGATAAATTTTTTGAAAAATCTTGTTCCAAAAACATAAATTCTTCTCTTTATACTCAAATCTTTATTAGGGACACCCGAGTTCATGGCCCCAGAGGTTTATGAAGAGGAATACAACGAGTTAGTCGACATATACTCGTTCGGAATGTGCATTCTTGAAATGGTGACGTTCGAGTACCCATACAGTGAATGCTCTCATCCTGCTCAGATTTACAAGAAAGTCATCTCTGTTAGAAACTCCAACTCAAACTCAAAAAAAATCTCTATTTTCAGTTACAAGCATGTTCATTTATTTGAATTATTAAAATTATTATTATTTTCATTTTAGGGAAAAAAACCCGATGCACTATACAAAGTAAAGGACCCCGAAGTGCGTAGATTTGTCGAGAAATGCCTGGCGACAGTGTCCGACAGGCTGTCGGCTTGGGAGCTTCTGAACGACCCATTTCTCCAAATCGATGATCACATTTGCGATTTAAGGCCTTTAAGTTATCAGAGGGAGTATGATGATTTTGGGCCTATACTCGCACAACGCCTCTTGAGTGCACAACACAGCACCACAAGCTCGGTGGTGAATGGTTATGGAAATTTTATTGGGTATGAGCCGGAGAACAATGAGTTAGAGTGCCGGTCAGTTGGGTATGAAGGTCAAGAGATGGAGTTTTTCACGGACGAGCACTTGGAGAATGTGGATGTCACTATCAAGGGAAGGAGGAATGAGGATGGGAATATCTTCTTGAGGCTCAGGATAGCAGATAAGGAAGGTAGGCTTAAGCTCTGCCTTTTCAGTTAATTGTTTTAAAAATGGAAAAGGAAAGTAAAAGACTTGAATTTTTGTCTAATTTCTTAAAAAAAAATAAAAAAAAATAAAAGAAGCCATCTTGATATATATTTGTTTCTATTTTACAATTAGGACTGAAGCCATATTTGAGTATATTAACTTTAATTGGACAGTTGTAGTTATGAAATATACCTTTTTTTTTGGTAACTAAATCTTAGTTTCTTTGATTAGTAAAACTACCGCGAGATCGAGTGTTCACAAATAGACACAGCTAACTGTGAAATTACGAAACTGCATTCATGTTTCGTTTTCCCCTGTCGTTTGTTGAGAAGAGAAAGTTTGGTGTCGTCATTAAAATGCTATACGTAGCCTCTACTTTTTTATGTTGACAATTTTTGTTGGCTCCACTAGCAGCTGGTGTGCAGCAATGCATGATGGATACAACCTAATGATAAAGTTAGCTGCTTTTACTTCCTCCCCTCCATCATTTTGTCATAAATTTGACAAGATCTTAGTGGTAGTCTTTCTGATTCTTATTCTTATCCATTATTCAACTGTTATCCTCATCCAATGATAAAAACTAGAGCTTCTGCTAAAAAAATAATAATAATAAAAGAAGAAAAAAAAAATTAAAAGGGATAAAATGTAGATTTTCATAATAGATGATGATGGAAAATTAAAAATGTTCTGAAAAGTGTGTATTTTCCCGCAGGTCACGTTCGAAACATATATTTTCCCTTCGACATCGAGACCGACACAGCCTTGAGTGTGGCAGCAGAGATGGTTGCTGAGCTGGACATCACTGACCAAGATGTCACCAAAATTGCCGAGATGATCGATGGAGAGATAGCTTCCTTAGTGCCCGGTTGGAAAAGTGGGGCCCACGCAGATGAAAGCGCGAGCCACAATAACGCCGTTTGTTGCCACCTCAACTGTGACTCGGATGATTCCCTCAAACACAGTTGCGGAGCTGTGCACGGCCGTTTCGAGGAGGTCACATACGAACTCAACGGGCCCTCCGACCTAAATTCCAAAAATACCCCTGGCGACAAATGTGAAAATTTCGAACAACTGATGAATAATGATGATGACGAGGCAAAAATTAGTAGAGCCCCATTGGAGGATTACGAGAATGAGATAAGGCAGGAGCTGAGGTGGCTCAAAGCCAAGTACCAAATGCAGCTGAGGGGGCTCCGGGATCGGAAGCTAGGGGTAAAATCGTCAAATTGTGATGCGGGAGGCAAAGAAAAAGGCAAGGGTGATTTTGAACATAAATCTTTTGTGTATGCGCATAATTCTTGTGGTCCGGTGCACCTGGGCACGTCCAAGGATTTCTACGTGGGCCCCATGATGCCGAATTCCCTTCATCGCACGACTTCTCTACCTGTGGATGCAACCGACTCGTGAGAATTAATACTTTATTATAGAGATTGGTTGTATTTTCATTTCTCAAAAGGAAGAAAAAGTCGCAAAGTTGACTAAGGGTACTGAGATTTTTGGCCTTGCAATGGTGTGCCTGGTCTATTCTTTTTTTGCAACTTGTAGATTCTTTCAACTTCAAGTGAAAGTGACCTTCACTTGGGGTTGAGATGAGTAAATGTACATCACTAACCAAATTATGGTGTGAAAATAACAATGTGAATTGCCACATTCTTGTTTTGATGTAACATTGCCAGAAAAGTAAGTGATAAAGCCTAGTCTTAGAGTTTGACTGTGTGTTACTTTGATGATTGCTTTGGGCTTCCTAAGGTGAGGTTAGGGAGAAAAACTCGTATTTATTTTGGACCTTTTGATTTCAGTACATTGAACCATTGAATTGTTGGAGAATTGAGAACTGTGGATAGTAATTTTTCACATTATCTCAACCACTCTGATTGAGTATTAACTTGGCTGGCTACTTGATTGTTCCCTGTGCCACTGATTTTTTACTTGAAAGCATTCGATTGAATATATGAAAACTAAGTGTACCTCTAATGCTTTATTTAGTTTGTTGTTTGTCTGAAAAATCAGCTTAGATGCCAGTCAAAGTGCTAGGCGGCACCTACAAACGTGAATTTTCTTCCATACGGTCCTTCAAGGCGTTCATGCAATCAAACGACATCAAGGCAAGGTAGACGGAGCCTAAGGGGGTGATTGTTTATGAATTGATCTAGAAATTAATTGGTTTTTTTTAACTATAGTTACAAAGTTGGTATGGTTAGTTGTTAGTGGATATATTAAAATAATATTTAAAATAAAATAATTAAAGTTGATATGATGTAAAAGTAAGAGAAAAATGATTGAAAGTGGTGGTTAGTTAAAATTATGTGAGAAGATGAATAGTGAATTAAAGTTGATGTGATGTGTAAGAATGATTGGTTGATATTATTTAATTATATTGATAATATTGGAGATAGTGAAGTTGGGTTAAAGTTGAGTTAAATTTGAGTTTTGATTGAGTTTTTTTGGGGTGAATTGATAAACAATCACCCCCTAAACAGCCCAAGAAAATCCGAAGTTTGCCACACTCTAGGCAGCGGCCATCCGTATAAATTTTTTGTTTTTAAGTTAATTTTAATTTTTTTATTCTTAAAATATTTAAAAAATAATAATCATGTTAAAATTGATATCATAGTTAAAATCGATATTTAAAAATGTGTTATTTCACCTTTTTTTTTTTAATTATAATGTTGAAACCAAGATAACCAAAATTTTAAAAGTAAACATAGATTTGAACTTTATTAAACAATTTTGAAAGGAACAAGTTAGTTAAATTTGTTTCGGTTGCTATAGGGTGCAGTTCGACTGTGCATTTCGTCATGCACACACATCGGATATATATATTTAATGTGAATATACACAATACATTGTAAACGTATTTATCATTAATATACACTTATTAAATTTTCTATAAATTACACATTTGACACATGTACCAAATTTAAATATAATCAAAGTTCATTAATTTGCAATCAGGCCCTTGAAATTATTTAATTCTCACACTCATGCCTTAATCCCCGAATTTTTCATCATCTTCCCCACCACCCCCACCGGCGTCGTTCATCCATCTCCGGCTGAGACATCTGTCTTCGATGTGTTCAAAGGCCTCTGTCGTTCCTCCCAGAGCTTCTCCCGCCGCGACCTGAGCTCCGGCGCCAACTTCCAGCGGGAGTGGTGAAACCGGCCGCCGACTGAGATGGGTAGAGAACGACGGCAACGGAGCTCCAGGCGATGGACCAACGACGACGAAGGGTGTGCGTGACTGCAGGCTCCGCGACGGCTGATGCAGAGATCCCAATGACCGGTAGCTGGAAGCCTGAGACTTGTGGCTGAGGTTGATGGCGGTAGCAGATCGAACCTCCATTGCATATGGCGGCGCGGCGGCCTGGCGGAGGTGCGACAACACTTATGTCGTCGGTCAGGCATGACGTCGCAAAAAAATCGGGCACCTGGTGGTTGACCCGTCGGCTGTATGTGTGTGTGTGCAGTGTGATGTGTGTAGTGTGTGTGTGTGTGTGTTGATTGGTTTGTGTGTGTGTGTCAGTGTGTGAGAGAGAGAGAGTAGGACGTGTGAGGTGTTTTCACCACGTGGCGCGATATAATTGGGTGGAGATGATTTGTAGTTGCCACAAAATGATTATTAAAATGTTAAAATATCTAAAATACCTTTAATGAATAAATAAATGTTGAATCTTTTTAGCTATTGGATCACTTGATCTAAGTACTACAATATATTCTTATTTTTTTCACTGTACCCTTTCTCATTGGAACTCAAACCTGTATATATATGTAACAACAAATTTTATGAAAAACATAAAACTTTTGAGGTGTCTTATGTTTGAGGTGTGATTTGTGACATAGAGGAGAGCCCTATTTATAGGTGTAGAAGAAAGAGTCTTGGAGAAGAAGACATCAATTTGATTGGTCCTTCTTGATTTGATATAATCTTTTTTCTTATCCTAGGATTTGATATAATCTCTTTCATAATCTTAAGATTTGACTTGGTGGGCAAGAAATAATAACATTATTAATTATATATCTTATTTATTATGGATTTATGTCCAAAAAATAAATAAAGACATTAATTAATAAAATATTAAAATTTCAATGTCTACAAATGCCCCATTGAGACTTGTTCACAGATAAAATGTCTTGGTAGTGAATGAGCCTCAAAGTTTTGAAATTGATTGAGATATGCAGATAGTTTAGACTCGTATCAGGAGTTCTTCGACTTGGGTTTGTAGATAGTTTAAACTCGTATCAAGAAGTTCTTCATTTGACTTGATTTTTAGATAGTTTAAACTCGTATCAAGGAGTTCTTCATTTGACTTGATTTATAGATAGTTTAAACTCGTATCAAGGAGTTCTTGATATGTAGACCTTTTAATCTCGTGTCAAGGAGATCTTGATATGTAGACATTTTATGCTCGTGTCAAGGAGCCTTCGAATTTGATATGTAGACATTTTATTCTCGTGTCAAGAAGATCTTGATATGTAGACAATTTATGCTCGAGTCAAGGAGCCTCGAATTTGATATGTAGACCTTTTATTCTCATGTCAAGTAGATCTCGATATGTAAACATTTTATGCTCATGTCAAGGAGCCATATAGATAGTTTAGGCTCATATCAAAGAGCATTTGAATATGTAGATAGTTTAGGCTCATATCAAGAAGCATTTGAATATGTAGATAGTTTAGGCTCATACCAAGGAGCATTAAATTTGAGGATTGATGGAGCTCTTCATGTAAATTGCCCCGATGGAATTTGAGAATGGAAGACCACTTTTGTTTCCTCCATTCGGATGTTTGATGAACACGACGATTTTCGATGGAATCATGGCCTAGGAAGACATCATCCTTCGTTGCCCCCGTGTACATTTTTTTCACAGATGTCTTCATGCATTTTCAAAGATCTTCGAACTTGACTTGGAGAGAAGAGATGAGAGGTAGAGATGGTCCCACTGGGCGTGCCAAATTTGTAACAACAAATTTTATGAAAAACATAAAACTTTTGAGGTGTCTTGGGTGTTTGAGGTGTGGTTTGTGACATAGATGAGAACCCTATTTATAGGTGTAGAAGAAAGAGTCTTGGAGAAGAAGACATCAATTTGGTCCTTCTTGATTTGATATAATCTCTTTTCTATAATCTCTTTCATAATCTTAAGATTTGACTTGGTGGACAAGAAATAATAATATTATTAATTATATATCTTATTTATTATGAATTTTATGTCTAAAAAATAAATAAAGACATTAACTAATAAAATATTAAAATTTCGATGTCTACAATATATATATAATAAAACATAACTTTTATGGAATAAAAATTCAACAGGATGTATGATAGGAAATCGTTTCAATTTTATTGCTTAAGAAAACAAAAGAATTATAATTTATGCCAATCAAATTTCATTGACGCCATGGTCCAACGCCAACCCACTAGCCGTTTTGATGTCTCCTCCACAAGTGGACTACAGGTACAGGGACATGCTGACATTCCACCACCGACATAATAAATCATACTATACTTGCCTATCCAAGTTGTCTTGAAATTGTGCTCATCTTTGAGTAGATGTAGAAGGTTCCAATTAGTCGGTTCATTTGCATTGTGCTTCGGAGACTACTTAAGAGAGCCCCGACTCTCCTCCTGCCCGATTTTCGGGGAACGTTGAAGAAGGCCAAAGGCGAAACTAGCCCGGTGGGAAAGAATGGCCCATCAAGAAGGGCATTTTATACTAACCAACAATAATAGGATCTCAAAGTTATATCATCTTATAATATAATTATACATTTTTTTTTTTCAAGTAGTACAACTAGCTAATCTTAGGGTAAATTACACAAAATCCTCCCGTGTTATACGAAATGTATTAAACATATTTTTAGAACAACATATGTAAACCCTGTGGATGAAACAATAATGTAAACCCTGTACAGTGTCTGCGAAACTTTCGTAGATTAATCCATGACTTGCATAATTACGGCGTTCCTCATAAAACCCAACAACCCATACTTCATCCAAACTTTCATCAAGGGTTATTCTCCAACTCTCATCCGCCATGGTCGTCTTTCTCACTAATGCTCCTTTGAAATTGGTAGAGAAATGGTATATTCCCACAGACGGCCCTAATTAATGTGCTATTACACCTCGAATCGGCCTTTCGTCGTCCTCTAACCGATTTTCTCTTGGAGACGTGCAAAACACGCTGGGAAAGTTCCCAGCGTAAATCCTCTGACGGTCAAGTCAGTAAATGGTTATGAAAGGTTGTATGTAAATGTAAGAAATTATATTGAGAGTCTATAGTGTGATTAACCTTTTACCTTTTATATCTCTCCCCTATTTATATGAGTCATTGGCTTATTGAACAAGCTTTTGTTGGATTTCAGACGTACGAACCTAGTGTACGCCCAACAGAATTTTAAAATTTTCTTACCAACAACGAAGATCCGGCTATAACTATTTGATATGATCCTAGATCGCGTGAACAATTAACGAAAACTTACAGTTTAAGCTTTGTCTTCAACTATGGTATCCACGCAATCCAGATCCCGGTGCACGATCCAACGCAATGAACCATTTCCAGTGAAAACACTAGGAATCCTCAATCAGAAAGTCAGAGTGTTTTGTGCTTTATGGCGTATCTCATTTCTCATCTAATGATCGTTAAAGACTGTTCGTTCCACTTTTGTCATGTTTTCTTTGTTTATTTCATGCTTGTTTTTCCCCTACTTAGGTATTTTTCTTTGGTTTTTGGTCCGTTTCGAGTCGTCTCGCGCATATCCTTTGTGTTAGTCGTTTTTGGTCTTTTTGTTCGTTTTTTCCCGTTTTCCGCATTTCTTGTCGGTGGTGATGTGCAGGTTTGGTGGCTCGGTGCATGGATATGCGAGGTCTACTGTCTAGATGGATGAGTTGGGGTCGTGTTGGAGAAGACGGGGTCAAAGTCCGAGTCCGGATGAGAGAAGACGAACCCAAAAACCAACGTTCAGAAATTGTTCGTCGCGGCCGCGGAGAAGAGAAAGTCGCGGCCGCGAGATACACGAAAATTCAAATTCTGGCTCGGGGAAGTCGCGGCCGCGGAGACGGTCGCGGCCGCGAGAGGTTCTTCGCCGCGGCCGCGGAGGTCTAAGTCGCGGCCGCGGAGGTCGCGACAGCAGAATTTTTAAGCTGCGTTTTTGTTCAGTTTTTCATTCATTCTTTCACCTAGGTTTAGACTCTCTCTCGTTTCTATTCACTCCAAAACAGTTTTTCTCTTAGTTCTTCATAGGATTTGATCTTGGATTGTGAAAACACCAAGATTAAGCTTGTGGATTCGGTTATTTGTGTATTCAACATTGGATTCTTTAATCGTAAGCTTTCGTTTCGTTTTCTTATTGATTGAATGGCTTTGATTATTATATGTGTTGGAGTTGAATGCATTATGAGTAGCTAAATCTTTTAGCTAGGGTTAAGGGAAGATCGTTCCGGTTTGATTTTATTTATGTGCATGATAATTGCTCAATCCTCTCGAGTTGTGCTTAACTTAGGGTTTTGATGATTGATCACCATCTTAATCTATCTAATCGATTTTAAAACTGAAAAGGGAGAAATCGTTCGATCTAGGCTCGTTAGGAATAAGCTTGTTCGTAATAGTATTGCTTATGTGTTGATTGCTTCAAGAATTGCTTATTAATGTCTATCCTCTTGTTACGAAGAGTTATTGAGGATAGACCTCTAGATGAGTAGTTTAGCGAAGCATTCAACCGAGCTCTTGATTGCTCGTTAAGTGTATTGAGAACCGGAATTGATCGACCCCGATACCCTAGCTCCTTCATTATATATTAAATTTGTGATTCCTGGTTTGCCTGCCCTGTTCAATTACTTGCTTTTCAAATTAGTAGACGATAATCAAATCTCCAACTTGATTTAGAATGTTTAGGATTTTCACTTCTTTTATTTTCCATTTCTGTGCTTGAATAATCGTACAAAATAATCCGACTGACCTTCCTCGAGAGACACGACCCGGTGTCGAATCTTTGATTTAACTCCGGTAAAAATAACTACAACAAAGACTACAATGAGATAATAACCTATTTGTAATTAGGTCAAACCTAAATATATGGGCCTTAGGAATCCTATAGCCCAATAGGTAATTGGACCTAATCCAATTAATGATTTAATTAAGTATAAGTCCAACTTAACTTAATTAAATATTTTCTATCTAATAGAAAATAATTCTATTACTCAAAAATAAATATTCCAATCTAATTGAATATTTAACACTCTCGATTCACTCTTAGCAGGAAAATAGATTGCATATTGTGTGACCCTATAGGCCTTCATATATTGACATAAATCTAATTTATGATCCTTACGAAAATCCTAGACTGCGTGGAAGGACGAACTCAAAATATGAAGTACCTTTACAGAGACAAAGCAAACAAACCTTTACTGTAGAATTCAATAGTGATACGGTCCCTTCATTCACGAACCACTCGATTAAACTTAGGACTTGAACGTGTGTCTATCCAAACAGCTTAATCATTTTATCTCATCTCACTGGTTGATTTTAATTAATTATATTTGAACACCATTTCAAATATAATCACGTGCATTAGTCAATGACTTTACCAACCCATTACAGAGAAAACGAGTATTCTCTAGAAACCATATTCGAAAAATGAATCCTATCTTGGCTCAACTACCAATTCCATGTATATCGTGACCAACCCAACACAAGCCCGTATCTACCCATAAGGGCGTAAGCTTTGGACAAGGTCTAAATAAATCACTCTATACATGAATTGCGTATTGACCTCAATTCAAAGGACTATTACACCATTCAACACACCGATACTTCCATAGACACATAAACAAATGGTTTATCGGTAGGGTATGCCAATACTCTCCAAAGTATCCATGTGTCCATCACGAATAACAATTATTCATAGCAGTGAGACATACTATATTATCCAAGAATGTGATGCAGACCACATGTTAATCTATCGCGTATCATTAATATCCCTTTCTTAATGATCATCGATTGAGGCGATTTGAGAGTTATACTTTATCAATTAGCATCTCACTCTGTTAATGACAATATTAACTCAAGGGAGCAATTAATTAATAATTTTCAAATAATCAAACAATTATTTAATTAATTGCAATACCATAATTATAATTCAATATAATTATTAATGTGATCATGTATATATGTCCTTAAAAAGATTGTCTCTAGGACACATAAACCAATAGTTTTACCCTACCCGGTTGCCCGAAAGCCTGCTCGAGTACCCGAAGGTCTGTCCTACGGTTATTTTGCTACCCCTAAGTCTATCCGAGACTCATTCTATCCATAGGATTTGGATCCCTCTCAGATAACCATACACGTGTTCGAAATAAATAAAATTTCCCACTGACATAGTTTATATAAAATCTTATATTAGTCCTTATCTTGACCAAGTCTCACAATTCGGCTTATACCACATAGGTCCTTTGCCCCGTTGCCAACAAGTCTGCATATGCTTTAACTGCTCATAGATAGATCAATGACATCATCAGTAGGCCCGGGGCGGAAGCAGACATTTAAAAGTAGGGGACACAATATAACTCATAAA